ATCAGCCTGCGGACTGAAAGGTCCCAGGTTCGATTCCGGTCAAGGGCATGTGCCTTGGTTGCGGGTGCATCTCCAGTGAGGAGTGTGCAGGAGGCAGCTGATTGATGTTTCTCTCTCATTGATGTTTCTAACTCTCTATCTCTCTCCCTTCCTCTCTGTAAAAAAATCAATAAAAATATATTTTTTTAAAAAATCTACTCCAGAAGAATCTATGTCGATAGTTTCTAAGGAGAAATTGGAAGGTAATATTGGGGGCAGTGTATGTAGAAAGATGTGAATATAGGGTATGGTTTATGTTTGTGTTTTATTTTTATTTTTTTAGAGAGGGGGGAGGAAGGAAAGAAGAGAGAGGGAGGGAGAGGGGGGAGAGGGGGGGAAGGAACTGAGCCACACTGGCCAGGGAAATACAGGGTAATTTGAGTAACTTTAAAGTTTGTTTCCTAGATGTTTACAGGGTATGGGAGAAAGGTCTTACTGATTTTATTGTTTGTTCAAGTCATGAATTCCCTAGGGTCACTTGTCCTGCTGGGTCCTGGTGCTGAGTTCTCAGCAGGAGGTATAGCAGAGGGTCCTGATTGCCAGGTTCTGTTTGATGTAGGAATGCTTTGAAACCTTTCCCATCCTGCTCACCACGGCAGCCACCCCTGCCCAACCCATATGACTACTTTTCTCTCCCATTGGAACAAAGGACAAGCTTTTTTCAGCAGACAGAAGTGATGGAGGGTGGCAGTCTGGTCTTCTGTGTGTTTACAGTTGTTTCTAAGAAGCCTCTTGGCAACCCCTCTCCACAAGCCCCACCATGTTATTCCTTGGAGACGCTTGAGCACATGCCAACTGTTGGCTCCATAGCCCCAAAGCATAGAAAGACTCTTGCCTTTGGGGGTAAAAGGATAGGGGCTTTTCCTGGTGTGGAGATGGGGATGAAAGAGATCCTAAGGACAGAAATTCTAAACCTATCAGGAGTCTGATAACATGACCCTCCCCCCTGGAAAGCAGTTTAGAGTTCTGTGCCATTCCCTGAGAGCTTTGTGAATGAAAGGCTCATGGGTCAAGCTTGTGCTTAGCACACAGTAGGACTTCAGTAAGTGTTTGTTGGACAGAAATGAAGAAAAGACAGAATGGTATGTCTTCACAATGACTAATACTAGCTAAAGGATAGCCTTAGATTATTTGCTTCCAAAACCACTTCAGATGGGTAGGAATCACCATAGAAGCTTGTTTAAAAATACAGGTCCCTTGGCCCACCCCCAGAGATTTTATTCCAATAGGTCTGATTCAGGAGTATATATTTTTTTTAAATAAACCTCTTGGGTGGTTCTAAAGTAAGGTTTTTTTGAACCACACTTGGGAGAATTTCTGCTTTAGGAGCGGGTTGAGGGAGCAGTGTGGGGAGAGAAAGGTTATTCTGTGAGAAGGGATCTGAAACCAGCAAGATGAGAACTCATGGCTAGTTGGAGTCTGAGTGTACCAGAAAAGTGACCAGTAGCATGTTGGATAGAAGAGACAGAGAGGTCAATGTCAAGGTCAAATTTAAGTCTAATTGGGCTGAAGTTCCAGAAAATATCCTTAAGAAGTAGCCAGTAGGAGTTTCCCAAGTTTTACTGACAAAATAGTGCTTTGTAAGTTGGGCTCACTTCTGCTCCTTGCCACTCCTAACTTGGCTTTGAGGATGCCAATGATGTAGAAAGTAAAAGGGATTTGCCTCTGCTAATCTCCTCAGAGAAAATTTAGATTGGTTCTGAGGCAGTGGGAAGAAGGAAGGAGTGGGAGTGGGGGTCTCAAGAGGGTGGAGCCAACCCTCATTTCTTTCCACCTCTCCCAAGTTGTCCAGAATGAGCACTTGAGCCTCAGGGATCCAGATGGGATGAAATGTCCCTTGGGCCTAAGCTGTAACTCTTTCTCTGGCTAAAAACTCACCTTTCACAGCACAAGAGGTCCATGTTAGAAGGTCTCGAGAAAGAAATGACATCGAACCACTCATTTTAGAGAGAAAATCACTTTAATCAGAGGTTAACAGGCAAAGCCATGCTGCAGAAATGAGGGAACCAACTTGGGTCTCTGACTCTCCGCATTCTGTTGCCTCTTCACAGTCTGCAACAGGGAGTAAGGCAGCCCCTCCTCTGCGCTGTGGTGGCCTTGGTGCTGAGCAAGCAGCACAGTGACCAAGGAGGCGCCCTCGTTTCTGGAAGACCACACAGCCAATGTGGCTGACTGGGAGGCCTACTGCCCTCCCTTTGCTAAACTTGCTACAACTGCAAGAGAGGTCAGTGATGGACCTGGGTCTCCACCTCCTCCATCGCCAAGCAAGGGCAAAGGATCCCTTCATTTCCTGCTGGGCTTGATCAGCATCGGGGTCCTGAGGGGAACAAAACAAGAAGTGTCCCAAGATTACTGTAGCTGAATAGAGCAAGTACAAATAAGGATAAATGAACACACAAGCACGCCCAGGTCAGTTACACTTGTACTGATAGTTTTTCTTCTCTTGTATTTTTTAAATAGGTAATAGATTTAAATGTACATGGTTCAAGTTGCAAAAGGAATGCAGTGAAAGTCTCCCAAACCCATCCCCAGCCACCTAGTTCCCCTTCACACAGGCAACCAATTTTATGAATTTCTTATATGTCTTTCTAGAGATACTACACACACACACTTCCACATTCTTTACACAAACAGTAGCATATTAGACTCTTTTGAACCATGCTTTTCCCCCTATTATATGTTGGAGATCATTTCATATAAATGCATTCAGAACTTCCTGGCTTATTTTTACAACTTCATGCTGTTCTACCTGTCATAATTTAGTCAGTCCCTTATTAATGAGCATTTAGTTAATTTGCAATCTTTTGCTGTTACAAATACATGTTCAAGTTTTTACCTATTATAAAAATTCCTGGATGTGAAATTAGTCAAAAGTATGTATGCTGGCAATTTTGATACGTATTGCCAAGCCTCGCTCCATAGAGGTGAATCAGTTTATACTTCTACCATAAACAAATGAGAATTCCTGTTTCCTCACACTTTTGCCAAGTCACAGGGAATTAGTCTTTTAATTTTGCCAATCTGATAAGTGAAAAATAATACTTTACTTACCCTTATAGCATTCTCAGAAATATCATTCTACTTGTCTTATTTGATCTTTTCATTATTCTATTTTTTTCATATATTTTATTGATTTTTTACAGAGAGGAAAGGAGAGAGATAGAGAGTTAGAAACATCGATGAGAGAGAAACATCGATCAGCTGCCTCCTGCACATCTCCCACTGGGGATGTGCCCGCAACCCAGGTACATGCCCCTGACCGGAATCGAACCTGGGACCCTTCAGTCCGCAAGCCAACACTCTATCCACTGAGCCAAACCGGTTTCGGCACATTATTCTATTTTATAAATGGTATTACTGACATAGAAAAGGTTGCTGTAGTCACACCCAATGTAAATGGCCAAGATCAGATGTTCAGCCCTCTTTCATACACTACACTATGCCATAGGAAGCTTGAGGTTCAAAAATAGCGGGAGGCTTCAAGCATGTGCTGAAAGATACATGATATAAAAAAAAGTGTAGAAACTTTCCAACATCTGCTAAGAGGACTCCTCTTCAGTGGTCTAATACCAAGACCATATTTCTGCATGTCTCCCCTGGAGAGTACCATCCGGAAGCAGAGGGGCTCTGATTAGCAATCTACTCTGAGACGGTACCCTTTTATGTAATGATGTTTACTTTGAATTTATATTAGTTCATACAAACACTCCATCCATGCTTTTGTTCCGGCCCTCCAGTCCAGTTTAAGAACCCATTGTGGCCCTCGAGTCAAAAATTTGCCCACCCCTGGTCTAGACTCATTCTCATGGGACCTTCTACAACCTCTTTCCAGCCAGGTGGCCCACTCCAAACCACTCTCCTCATTCCAGGTCCAGACTTTTGCACTTTCTCCCCTCCCTGCTTTTGTATGTGCTGCTCTCTCCACCTGGTATGTCCCTCCTTCCTGGGTCCAAAAAACTCCTATACTTCAGGGACCTAAATTCACTTCCTCTGAGAAGCTTTTTTGTTGTTGTAGTTATTGTTGTTGTTTTGGTTTTTATTTTGTTTTTGTTTTTTTGTCACTACAGTACTGTTAGTGGTGCCTTCTCTTTATTCCAGGAACATTTTGGCTACACCTCTATGACAGCATTTGTCACTGTTTTAGGATTGGGTTCTTTTTCTCCCCTAGTAGATAGAAGGGTACTCAGCATTAATGGCTCATTTTTGTGTCTCAGAGCCCAGGACAGTGCATACAGGAACTGTTCAGTCAGTATTGGTGGAAAGGCAAGGAGATGGGCAGGTTCTGAACAGAAGACATCAGGACCAAGTACTTTAATTGCTCAATGAGTTCAGGAAACTGCAAGGCTTAAAATATATATATCTGAAGCAAAATGACAGTACAACATTTCTCTAAAGCAAGTTAATTTCCACCCAAGAGGATGATGAGAGAGAAGAAGACTGAGGGAGGGGGAAGAGGGAAGAAAGCTGGGACTTTATGTCCTTCAGAGGCTCCTTGCTGTAGGCTAAGGCAACACATTTAACATCAGAAAATTCTTACCTGATGTCACTCAGAAAAAAGGTAAAAGAGGCGGTAGCCTGGAACTTTCTTAGAATTTACAAACTGCACATTATGTACCACTCAAGACTGGATAGAAGAATGCTTTACCACCCACTCACCTAAGCCTCCTGCTGGGAACAGCTCTAATGTCAATGACTGCCCCTAACCTTGGAGTCTGTCCCTTTATGGTGTTTCTAAAATGAACTTAAAAGAGCTGAAATAAAAATACTCATTCAGCATGGTAACCATAGTTAACAATACTATACTGCATATTTGAAAGTTGCTAAGAGAATAAATCTTAAAAGTTACCATCACAAGAAAAATTTGTAACTATATATAATGACATGTTAGCTAAACTTATTTGGTGATCATTTTGTGGTGCATACAAATATCAAATCATTAGGTTGTACTCCTGAAACTAATACTAATATATAATACCTCACTTAAAAGTATTTTTAAATACTCAAATCATGCCCTCACATAAACACACACACACACACACACACACACACACACACCAAACAAAAAAAAACAGGAGAGGTATATCATTGTGTTTGGTGTTTTAAGTATATTTTTATTGTTATTTTATTTTTTTAATATATTTTATTGATTTTATACAGAGAGGAAGGGAGAGAGATAGAGAGTTAGAAACATCGATGAGAGAGAAGCATCAATCAGCTGCCTCCTGCACACCCCATACTGGAATGCACACCCCTTGACCGGAATCGAACCTGGGACCCCTTAGTCCCCAGGCCAACGCTCTATCCAGTGAGCCAAACCAGCTAGGGCATTTATTGTTATTTTAAATGACGTTAAAGTTTAGCTCCAAGTTCAACAGGAGTCTTCTCCTGCTTCCTCCCACATAAATACTCCTGCAGGTAAATATAACTAAACTAGTTTAGGCTCTCCCTTGAATTCTAGTCCCTGGGACATCTTTCTTAAAACTCTTAAAATGAAAGTGTCTACAAGAACCTTCTGACCCATTGGGATTTTTTTTTGGTCCTGTTATCTGAGATGGGTTTGGCCCTTTCTGGGCGTAGAACAGTGTTCAAGAGTGTCACATGAACAAGCAGGAGGTCTGGGGGGAGAAGGGGATGCAGAATCACTGAGGAGCAGGTGGAGGGGCAGGCATGTTGGACAGGTGCTGGGCACCCTGAGTGGTCCCAGGGCAGAGCTGGTGGGAGGCAGTGCTGGGCCTGTGGGAGGAGGTAACTGGCCAGTGCTTCCCTCCACCCTGACCCAGCAGAGTGCTGGTCAGACTGCGCTGCTCGGGTGCACGGGTGGCAGGTCTCGCCCTCCTTTGGGGCTCAATCCCTGTGCCTGCGTCTCCTCCGCTTGCGGTTTCTGGTCAGTCCCAGCTGGCCCAGACTTGTTCTGAAGGAGAAGGAACGGCCGACTGGCGAAAAAAGTGCACACCGGGTGATTGATGAACTCTTAATAGGACTAACCTCTCCTGCTCCCCCCACCCCACACTAGACACACACTGAGAAATCGTTCACCCCAGCCCCCGCCCCAGACCTCCTCGCTTGCTCGCGAGAGGGGGCTCGGCCACCAGCCGGTTGGGTGATTAACTCACCGTTTGTCTTCCCAAGTGTTCCAGGTGGATTCAGGAACACCCATCCTCCCCGCAGCCGCAGCACCCTGCCGCGCCGGGTGGAAAGCTGGAAGAAGCGCGCATCCAGCGTCACCAGCGTCACTTGGAGGCGCAGCCCAAACTGGTCTTTGTGCTGCCGAATGACTGACCGCCCAGGGGAGGCGGGGGCTATTGTTACCCGCGGGGGAGGGAGGTGCTCAGACTCGGGGTCCACGCCAGCCTCCTCCCCAGAGTGTCTCCGGTTCCCAGGACGGGCGGGGGGCTTCCTTTGTATGTCCTCTGCCTGCCAGGGGAAGGCGTCATTGTTGCTCCAAGGGGCAACAGCCTGGGGGAGGGGGAGGAGGGTGCCAGCTCTGCCGCTGCCTGGAGCTCAGCTCCTCCGACCCCGCTTCCCCACTCGGCCATGCGGCCTTGCGGAGGATTGGGGAGGAATATGGTATTTGTAGGGCAATGCTTTGAACAATAGATCCATAAAAACGCCCTCTCCTTATAAGTCAGGGACCACTCTTCCCTCCTTCATAAAGGCCCTGGTCCAACAGGTTCTCCCTCGAGGCCTGGTTTGAGGCCTGGTTTGACGCCTGCTTCCCCAGCAAAAAACACTTCATTTGTACCAGGGTTCTCCATGAATCCTGATTTAAATTAAGATCTTCTCCTTGGGCTCTTACTAATGTTAACACCCTATTTCCATAATTTTCCAGATACTATTCTTCCATGAAAATGATCCAGACTAGCTATAGGAACCAGTCAAGATGTTTTGCCACAAGATCTAGGAGAAGAGGACTTAACCAACATCTCCCGTCTTGCAGATCTCCTGGGGACCCTTCACCTGCTTCTGCTACTGCAAACAATTGGACATCCATTTACCTTGACTCTTTTTTCAAGTGTGGAAACCTTTTGTGCACTGTGCATCAGGCTGGACCTGGCCTGAAAGTAGGTTCTGGATTGTCTCTGACCTTTCCAATTTGCCAGTGTGAGTATGAGGCCTGACGAAGTGTTTAGGTGTAGGCTTTAAGCCAAGTATATAAATCCACTTGGCACCAACTTGGGTCCCAAAGATAAGGGCATTTGTAGCTGGAGTGGAAGACAAGGGAACAATGAGAACTAAGGTTTCATTCTCTGTGATGAGCCTCTCCACCACCAACTAGCACCACCAGTGCAGTATGTACAGTGGACTCATCTATCCAATCTTTTTTTTTCTCATCCAGGCCTTCTGCAAGAGAGATCTAAGTGAGCCTGTCCTCAGAGACGGTGAGGGTGTGGCTGGTGACTCAGTCTTGGCTTCCTGTGCCCAAGGTGTCTAGGGATAGATCTCTGGGAAGTGTTAGTGCCATGAAGTGAGCAGGCTACAGACCTGTGGGAACTAGAGCTTTCTGCCCCTCTTCATTTTTATTTAATATTCACAAACTTCTGTTCATCCTATTCTTTTCTTACAGTTTCTGAAAGAAGGACCAAAGGAATGCCAAGAACTCCCAGATGAAGAGGACCTCTCTAGATTTGTAACTGGGACTACTAACCAAGTCTTAACTCCAGGAGGAAGTTTCAACTAATTCTCAGGATAAGTCGAAACAGGCCTGTGCCGGCCCTTTGAATACTGAAGGTGTCAACAAGCTTCTGGCTTCCCCAGGTCAAGTAGAAGTTGGGTTCCTCCTTTGTTATTCAAACACACACCCACACACACAGCCACTTCACCCTCCCGAATGAAAAACCTCAACAGATGGAGAGCTTAGGCTCCCCAGCCTGCTGGCTGGGAAGATGCACTTCACTCAGGGGTCAGTCAGCTGGTACAGGGAGAAGGGAGTCGCTGGTATAGGTAATCACTGTATTTTAAAACTCTCTTCAGCAAGGTTAGCAGCCTCTGGGGCCTGGGAAACCAATGTGGCTAATGTGTCTCTGATAGGGACTGGGCTTGGGGCTGTACCAAGGGGAAAGTCCTCTACATCCCCCCCCCCCCCCATTTGAAAGACTGTACAA